AAAAGATAATCAAAATCAAAATCCCATTTGCTGCTGCTTTTTACCTTACCTTTCTTAGAGCTTCAACTCAAACCACCAATGCCGAAGAAATTATTTTTACTCTTTGTTCTGAGAGCCTCAGCTCTGCTATAAAAAGAGTGGCATGTCTCTTGCTCTCACCCTTAAGCCTGACATCTTCATAATTCCTGCAGAATTTGGCTGTCTAGGAGGCTTACTGCTATGAAGAGACAAGTGTGTAAGTTATCTTCCATTGAAGACCTTGGATATTACCCCATGGACACCAAATATAACCTGGTATTTTAAGGAAGCCAGCATACAAAGTTAGAGCACAAAGATTAAAAGCTTGAACCCCCAGTGGGAGAAGTACAGGATATTGGCAGGGATAGGTATGTTTAAAGGTGGTTCTTCACTTGTTGACTATCTTGCTTCTAAATGCAACATTTGGGGTTGGGCAGTAGCTTGCAAAACCTCCCAGGTTAGAAGTAGTTTTTTTGAGAACTATGCCACATTTTAAGGAAGAAGGCAGATTGTCCTTTCCAAAGGTGATACTAATAATCTTTGGTACCAGTGAGTTACAGGGATTTTTATCAATCAGAATGAGCATACATCAGAATCTGATTTCTGTGATTGTTTCTGCATTTATTCCAGCACTCCTAACTTAAATCAATGATTACAATATGGAGTATTGTTGTAGCTGTGAAGCTCCAGAAAATCTTGGAGAGGTAAGGGGCGATAGTTTGTGATGATGCTTTTTATTGGACCAACTGCATAGTTGGGAGAGGCGTTGTACAAATAGGACACTTTGTGCCTGAAAGCTTGTCTAATATCTCTCTCAACTATACAGTTGGTCAAAAATAAAAGATATCACTAAACAAACAAACAAACAAACAAACAAACAAACATCTTGGTTAAAACCACTGGTGTTGGTGTGTCTTAGGAAAAAATCTCAAGTACCAGTAGTGAATATCTAATTTAGAAGATACATTTTTTTCTAAAAATATGTCACGCTGTCTTGCTTTATTTATCATTTACCTACCTCATTGCCTCTAGGAAAAAAGTTCTGATTTGACATGGATTTTGCAGAGGCAGGCTTTCATCCAGGATATTCAATCAGTCATTGTAACCTTGTAGTGGTATGCTGACTTGAACTCCACTTGAAATGATTTTTTTTTTTGCCCTTGGAGCCTGCAGTGTTTTGTATTTGTTTTTAATAATCTGATCTATTAGAGCCATTTGTGCCTATTCTCGCCTCTAGCCTTGTAGCAGTTACTAAATTTAGACAATCTTATGCCAGCAGGTGGTATTGAATTTCAGTTCACTGCTTTCTTTATGCCATCTTTCCTTTCTTTGCTCCTTTCATACTCCTGTCTTCTAAAACAAAGTTTATTTTTTCATCTGACAAATAATCAGTGAGGGAACATAAAATGAATACAACAGTGAAGAAGAAAACCGAACACTTGAATGTCTAAAAGATGAGAAAGGACATGCACTCATTGTTTTTCATTTGATATTTTTGAGAAAACAAAATAATCCTCTTCCTAGTTCTGTACAATTCTGCTAAATGTTATTTCTGTTAATCAATGTAGTGATAGTACTCAGGTAAGTAACTGCTTGCAGGATTACTCTTAGACTGTCTTATATATATGTGTACGCCTGTGCACCCCCCCCACACACATCATTTCCTATTTCCTAGTTCTCACTTTCTAAATTGCAAATTCTTCATCAGTTTAGGTATTCCAGCTTTAATAAATTCTAGCTGTACTACATATTCTGTAGTGAAAGAAGTAATTTAAAGATGCTCCCAAACTAAGAGAAGGACTGAGGAACTCAGTAAGTGGGAGATGATCCCTCAGTTAAGTATTTAATTTCCTAGAAAGAAGGCAAAGGACCTACAGAGGTTGCCTACCATCTTACAATAAAGTTCACTGTTAGTTCTTCTCATGCATTATATGCCTGTGTTTTTTTTCTTAACCTTGTGATCACTATTTGTAGCATGCAGACACCACAGTTCTGAGTGGAGACGAAACTAAGTAAAAAAATGCAGGCTTTTTCAGTGTGAATTGTAAATAAAGTGCCAAATTTGTCCCTGGTGAATTTCAATGTATTTACAACCATGGAAGAGTTTGATTCCAGTAAAATAGTCATGACTAGGAGACCCTTAATATACAAATATAATAACTTATAACAGTAAATTAAATAGATTGTTATCAATGTTCTTTTATTTTTCAGTATTAAAGTGATAAATCCCCACATGATCATTGTATTTCTTTAGTCAATGTGACTACAAACATGCCAAGTAAGTTTATCGGAGAGATTTTTATTCGTGCCATTGACTAAAATGGTCAATTACAAAGCAAAACTATAACAGGACCCCTTTCGCAGTAATAAAATAGGCCTCTTCTTTTAGTAATGATTGTACAACTGAAAAAAAAATTACAAAGCCATATTGTGCTTTACATAGCTTAAGATCATTTACTTTGCTCTAGTTCCATTAAAGCTGCAGTTTGTTCAAAAACTGTTGAAAAATTGTAGAATGCTTTTGGTAAACCACTTTCTCTCTCTGTCCATCTGCCTTTTAGGTATGCATATCTACAGCTGTATAAACATAGCCAAACATAAAGACTGAATGAATTATGCCTCTTTTAGGTTGTGGTGATCTGGGAAAAGGAAGCAGCTGTAATCCTCAAACCACTACATCTGGATGCACTATGGCCAATTTTCTATTGAAAATGGATGCCTAAAGTTAGGCTTCAAAATTCGTATTTAGGAACTCAGTCTCTGCAGGTTCTTTTTCACGTAGAAAGTGCTTTCCACAGTACATTTTACTAGTGGGAGAGGGAGAAATGGGAAGAGCTAAGGCCCAGTCTTTGGTTTTTAGTCATTTAGTTCCTCAGGAAGGAGAAAGAGGGAGGAGATGGCTATTTAAGGTATAATTTGGCCCAAGACAACATGCTATTTAGAAATGATATTATTAAAAGCTGGCTGTAGCAAAGTATTCGCTGTTACAGGATTTTTGTCAACCGCCACTCACTTTGAGTCATGCGTACTGTCACCTTCTTTATCACACCAACAGAAAGGAAATGTCCCACAACAGGGCTGTAGCCAGGGTTTCCATATAATGTTGTATAAAGATAGCTGTTGAGGGACTGGAGTCAGTGTCCTGCGATGCTCTGTTACTGCTCTTTCTATTCTGCTCATTATTGTATCAAATAGGGGTTCGGTGCTAGGTGAGAGAGGATTGGTCTCTGAAGGGTCTTGTGAGAGATCAAATAGCAGAGGAGGGTCATGGTGGGTTACACCTTCTCCAAAACAAGGACAAATTCCTCTTCCATAACAAGCTCCAGCACCTTCTGGGTGGAATTTTGGGGTTACATAGTGAGCCTTCCATAGCGTGCCGCCTGGAAGGAAAAACGCCATATAGAGTGACTAGAAGAGGGTATAAAATGGCAGGACAATTTTTAAGAGAAGCCCCCCAAAATGCAGACAAAACCACCTACCATGAAAAATCTAAGTTTTACAAACTTTTAGCCCCTTTATACATGACACAGATTTTGAAGGCAATAGATAATGTAGATATGAAAAATGTGAATGCAGGATAGTACAGTCTTTGTTTTCATTAAATTACCTATAATGCATTTTCTCTACGTAGCTTGTAAATACTCTTGTGCTATAAGGCTTCTCCATTTGGGCATCAGTCAATACCTAGACATAGCAGATTTTGGACTGTGTGTGGAAAATGTTACAGGAAACATCTATCAAACTGATGATGCTGTTGCGTACAGTACTAATGCTGCTGTAGTTACAAACAGGAAACATTTGCTAGAGTTTGCATCCATCCTGGAAAGAGTATTTATACTTACTGTCTTTTTGGTGCCACCGCACTGCATGTAAGTATGACCCACAGTAGTGAAATATGAACTGATGCTCTGACTGTTGAACTCTCCCTTGCAGTAAAGGCATCAAGTTGTGGCCGTCAATTACCCTAAGGTGATGAAAAGAAGTAGAATAAAAGATAAGCTGTGCAGCAATGAATTTAGTATTTATTATGTTCTGTATATCTGAGAACTCTTAGTGCTAACTCTCACTAGATTTAGAATTTGTTTACACATTTATCTGGCCATTTGGGATGGTTGTTAGGAAATAAACACATTTAAAATCTCTTTTAAATAAAATGCTATTAAAAAAGAGAGAGAGAGAGAGAGAGAGAATTAGGTTCATCCTTTTTAATGGTATGTAAACAATTTGAATTTAGAATTAGTTTTATTGAACTATTAAGGTCCCTAATATTTCCTTCCTTAGAGGACTTTCATAGGCTGCATGCTATGACCCTCTGTGACAGTTTACCTTACACCTGAGCACAGCAGAAGTTCAGAGCATCAAAGCTCATGTATGTCACACTACGGCTAAGAACAGGAATTACACATAAACCAGTACAAGTGATTGGAAACTGGTTCAAATCTGTAACACAACAAAAGTTCAGTGCATATAAACTACTTTCAAAATGGCCAAAACTGGTTTAAGATACGCCTGAATGGATGTAGTATCAGCCTTAACTGATTTAGGCTTAAATGGGTTTATTGAATTTCTGTCCCAGATCCCCTCCAGATTCAAGTTAACTCACCATCCCCCAGCACCCAAGAATGCTTTGCATCGCCCCCACAAATTCCCCCCTCACAGGCTGGGCAAGCTAGTTTTGGCTCAAGCTGTCTACTCCAGCCAAGCAGGGAGGTGTGTTCTAGCGCCCCCCAGCTTCTGGCCTGGGCCACTGCAGGCATGTGGCTGCATTTCTAGAATCACAAGTGAATGTCTATTCACTTGCTTATTGGTTCAATCCAGGCATTTTAGACTGCAAAGACTGAACCAATTCAGCCTCAGGCTTTTTGACTGTTTGTACTTAGCCTAGGAGATGAAATATAGCAAAAAACTAGGAAGTGACACTGTCATCATTACAAGATTATATGTAGCGAAGATGCATCATTTTTACAATACCTGTCCTGGGGCACTATTCCTCCACCCAGGTAAGCAACTGTGGGGTAAATGTCCATAAGGCTTGTAGGTTCATCAATAACTGTATCAGCAGGTAAAACTCCCGGCCATCTACATATACCTGGCACACGGATTCCTCCTTCCCAGCCTCCCATGCCTTTCCCACCTGCAGAAGCAACATGTAACAATTATGAATCTTTCTAGAAGTTATCCATATAATGTATTGTATATGAAGTTACAGACAGATGGCAGTAACACATTGCTCATCTCTAAGGCTTAATATTTCATGGTTAAATTTTAATTCCACACACATCAGAGCTCAGAGCACACAACAGAACTCAGAAGAAAAAATCCAGCCATGAAATCAGGAACATGTGTATCATTAAGATCTGCTGGATTTCATATTTTTGGCAATGGAAGGAGTAGAAAAATAAACAACTTTAAAGTATATTCTATTCATCAGTAAGAATTTTTTTTCCTTTTTCTTCACATGGCTTACTGTGCACTGTCTGGTAGCTTTTTTAGGATTAAGGGTGATGACATTCTTCACTAAATAACTTTATTACACAACAGACATAGAAGGGGCAGGGATGCTCAAGTCTAAAGAATATATTCAATATTTCTAAATGTTAAGCTGTACAATCTTCATTCCTCATTTTAATTCATAGTTGAATACAGATAGGTTGTATTTGGTTATAAGAAAAAGGAGATATGGACACACTTGACATCCTAGGAGCTTACATCCTAAGTGCCCATTTCACTTTTAAAAATGAGATTGAAGTTCCATACTTTGGTGGTTTTGAAATAATTATCCTATGAAATTCAAGACCATAACACATGCTTGGAATATTACAGTAGTGGAAAAGTGGTGGTGATAGCCATGATGGTCTAGAAATTACATCAGAGGCAAGAATTTCTTAGGGTGATATCTCTTATTGGACCAACTATGTAGAAGCAGGTTAAGTGAAGAAGATTTTTTTCAGTTTTTCTGAAGTTCTCCTACATATTTGTGTTGCATATATGGAACTGTATGTGTTAGCTAGAGGGTTGCAGATGATGTGTTCCCTTGGGATGATGTTATGTTCCTTGTACAGGCTTAAGAGGATGTTGCTGTGTAGTGTGGCTTTCTTTAGGTTATGGCTTTTCCATTGTAAGTGGCATATTTCAATATCTTTCATGTTACCATAAGACATCCTTGCCTTTTGAATATTATATAAACTTGTCACATTTCCCTTTCAATCAAATTCATTTTCCAAATATACCTCTCCCCACCCCCTTTCCTTCCACCAACACACACAGAGGGAGCAGCCAGATACTGACAGAAAAACCTATTCTCCACATACCAAGCATCTCTCTAATTGTCTTGGGCCAAAGAAAAGTGGTTCACTGTGATACAGCTGAACACTCTGAATGTGGTTACTACATTTCCACTTCTTTTAAGCTGCTTATTGTTGTAATCTTGTTCATGGCTTAAATCTCATAAGGCTCATTATCAATCCTAAAGCTTGGTGAAGAAAGCTACTCTCCATGTAGTAGCATGAATCAAAACCTAGATGCCTATGTAAGAGCCAGAAGGAGTCTCTCTCCCTTCCCTCAGGGGAGGTGGTCTCAGAAGCCAGAGACCTAGAATTTTAAATTTTTGCTTGTGGTGGTACATTGTGTAATTACTACATTAAAATAGTGTCACTGCAAAATCAGAACAAGCTCCAGTTTAATAAAAGAAAACATTCACAAATGTGATGTCTGGCACTGATGCTCTGTAGCTTTTACATGTGCATCTACACATGCACCTTACTGCGGAGTTGACTAATTAGCTCTGAAGTAAAGCATCACCATCTACAGGCTTGCCCATATTAGGGGGCAGTTTGTGATTTTCGGATTATACTCTCAAAAGAGAAAGTTTTATTTCTTTTATTCTTCCATTTTATCATCACATTCAACAAAAAATTGAGTTATTAATTAGCTTAACATAAATATTTTGCATTTCTTTGGCACTTCCTGTATGGACAACATGAAATGATTTATGGACTTTAAGTGGGCATCCCTTCTTGGGTAAGTATTATAATTCTATTTTATACAATGGAAAGACAAGGTACAGAGAAATGAAGTTTCCAGTCCCAGGTAATACATAATGCTTGTATATTGAATCCATGCCATCCTCCCTAATCAAGCAAAATTAATTTTTTATTCCATTTTTCAGATTGAAAGGGTCATACCATTCCTTTCTTACCTTTATAGATGCCATTCCAGCCCCCTAATTGGACTTCTCCCTCTTGTGCCTCCAATTGTCCTCCATGGTCAGAGGCAAAATAAATGAAAGTGCTGTTTTTCAGACCTTCCTTATCAATAGCATCAAGAATGTTGCCTTAAAAATTAGGATAAACAGAAAGACAGAGAGTAATGTCTAGTATTAAATGAATTCACACAAAGTTTAAGCCCATTAATTAAAATGGCTAATGTACAAATAATGATTCCTCTTCCTTCTAGCAGAAATATACCTTTCTACTATTTTAAACACTTAGCATTAGTATTCTGTGGCTAAAATCCAATGATACTTGTTTAAAGGGAGTCTCTTCCACAAAGAGTACTTACCTACCATCCAGTCCATTTCTTCTACATTATCTCCATATATGCCATGTCTGCTTTTCCCAAGAAATTTCTCTGTGGTGTAAAGGGGGGTGTGCACGTGTAAAAAGGAAATGAAGAGGAGGAATGGTCCATGCTTGTTTCTTAAAGAATTAAACAATTATTTATTTCTTGTGCACTTGGAAATTTTAGAACCATTTATATTCATATATGCAAACACATACTTTCTTTCTAGGACCACAGCAACACCACAGATGTCATCTTAGCCCATGCAGGGCAACATTTCTCTTAGTGTCCACGCCAGAAAGCATTAATTACACTAGGGATAGCATATTTTGCAAAGGGAACTTGTTCTTCAGAGGCTTACAGTAATTCCTAGGTAACATCATCTCAGATCTAAATTTCTGGGCCTTACCTCTTTGAGATTTAAGGTTTTTCAGTACTTATATCAAAGAGAAAATAAAGACCTGGAAGACTGTAAGCTGAATAAAGAAATGAGAGGGACACATG